CACACACACACACACACACACACACACACACACACACACACACACACCTTTTTAATAATTACACGTCTCTTTTTATATAACATATCGATATGATCGAGCAAAATTTGTTTTTTGATATCTACTTCCATGCTGGTAGGTGAATAACGTATTGCTCGTTCAATTGTTGAAAAAGCTTCTGCCGATTCGATTTATCCTTGCTGCAATTCATTGTTAATTTGTATGATTTGGCTGCACGAACGCCTGATGTTCACCGCAGGTATGTCGGATTTACGGCGGAGGCATTGATTCCGTTGTCACGAAAACCCGCATTATCGCGAAAACGCGTTCGAAACAGTTGGTCGACGTCATAAGCACATAGGATATATATTAATCGTATGGTTAACTACGCCCACGCAGCAGTTCTCGCACGACGAGGGAGAACTCGAGAAGGTTTGCTTATTCTCTCATATCTGGAGGATCATTCGAAAAGTTATTCGAGAAATTATTATTCGAAAGTCTGACGTCAGAAGGGATCCACGTTGTTAGATCATTCGTTTATCTATCTATTTTGTAACATACGAAGCGTTCATTAGTCAGCCAGAGTACGTGGATCTCCTAATTTGCTTCAGCCGAAGTGAAAACATCAGTCTGTGGTCAGGCGGCGCAACAGTGAAAGCGTCGCGGCATGATCCGACGCCTACACGGTGTAGTAAATGTTGCGTAGGCATTGTTCGATATAACCTTTTTCCCTACCTATTTCCCTTCTGTCGCGCAGTAAGGAATACCCTTAAATGAGAAATACGATGGATGTTTTCAACGAGAGCGAATAAACGATCATAAATGTGTACGTATCGACGGTGAAACGTTCGCGTTTTTCTTGTTACACGAATTTCCTCGTTTCGCCTATCGAAATATCCCGCTTTTCCTTTTCCTTGGGAAATTAATTTTGTTATTGTCCATCGTATTCTATGTTCTATTCTCGTAGGTACGTGTTCAAATTTCATTCTCATCGTCCGATCTGGCCAGATGAATTTCCCAGAGAATTTCTCTCCGCCCGGTGGTAATTAAAACGAAACGTTCCGCCGGAACGTTAACAAACAGCAGGGTGCAATTAGGAAAAAAAATATCAACTGGGGGGTGGGGAACAGTCGGGACAGAAATAGAGAAAATGCTTGCCAGGATATCGGCGACACGAAGAAACGAAGTTTCACATTATAATTACCATCACGAATGCTGAAGATGTTTTTCACAACGATAGACGATAGATAGGAATAGATGGCTTTTTCACGGAGCTTCGTGAAAATAGCGGTGGAGAGAATTTACTCTCTTACCACGGAGAGAAAAGAAGAACAAGACGAAGGGAAAGGTCGGAATTTTCGTTCGTTCTTACGAAACTCCACTCGAGGGTACAGGTTTCTAATCGGGACGCCTCGAGGATGTCGGTCTATCTCGTCCCCGATAAATTGCGTTAGCCGTAGCTCGGTGTGACGTCCGCCGGTTATTTCGTTTTATTAGCACCGTCGGACGGAAGTTTACTAGCTCTTGCTTCTGTCTCAGAAAATTCCGTCTACTTCGTCTCGTTACACCGGTTTCACCGATAATCGTTCGCCTTGCAACAGTGTTCAACCTAGACTGTCGTTTATCATCGTCGTTGCCAGTAATTCTCTTCGGTGATGGATGGCCAAAGTTTACGAGAATTGTTTCCTTGCATCGAACCAGCCGCATTGAAATTTCTTGCAACATGTGTATAATTAGCAATTGGCTGCACATTTCTCATCATAGATAATAAGTTCAATTGCGATTTCGAGAATATT